CTTAGTTCTGCACCCCACTTTTTAATTTCATTGTATGGTGTTTTGGTGACTAGCTTCTTGAGCTCCTTGTATATTTTGGAAATCAGTCCTCTGTCAGATGTGGGGCTAGTGAAGACCTTTTCCCATTCTGTGGGTGGTCATTTTGTCTTACTGACTGTGTCCTTTGCCTTACAGAAGCTTCTCAGTTTCAGGAGTTCCCTTTGATTGATTGCAGACATCAGTGTCTGTGCTTCTGGTGTGATGTTCAGGAATCGTTCTCCTGTGACAATTTGTTCAAGGGTTGTTCCCACTTTCTCTTCTAGAAGATTCAGTGTGGCTGGATTTATGGAGAGATCTTTGCTCCATTTGCACTTAAGTTTTGTGCATGGTGATTGGAAGAGGATTATTGGCTGGTAAACTTTTGCTCTATGTCTAAAAATCATATAAGAGTGAGTGCATACCATGTTTGTCTTTTTGTGATTGGGTTACCTCACTCAATTAGCACCTTTGTCAAAATAATGTGTTCGTAGGTGTGTGAGTTAATATCTGGGTCTTCAATTCGATTCCATTGGTCTATCTGTCTATTCTTGTGCCAATACCAAGCAGTTTTCAGAACTATGGCTCTATAGTAGAGCTTGAAGTCGGGGATGGTGATGCCTCCAGAAGATCTTTTATTGTAAAGAGTTGTTTTGGCTATACTGGGTTTTTTATTTTTCCATATAAATTTGAGTATTGTTCTTTCAATGACTGTGAAAAACTGTGTTGGGTTTTTGATGGGGCTTGCGTTGAATCTGTAGATTGCTTTTGGTAGGATTGCCATTTTTACTATGTTAATTTTGCCTATCCAAGAACATGGGAGATCTTAACACTTTCTGATATCTCCTTTAATTTCTTTCTTTAAATCTCAAAGTTCTTATGGTAGTGGTCTTTCACTTATTTGGTTAGTGTTACCCCCAGATATTTTATGTTGCTTGTGGATATTGTGAAAGATGATGTTTCCATGATTTCTTTCTCATTGAGTTTATCATCTGTATACAGTAGGGCTACAGATTTTTTGAGTTAATTTTGTATCCTGCTACCATGCTGAAGGTGCTTATCAGCTGTAGGAGTTTCCTGGTAGAGTTTTTTGGGTCACTTATGTAGACTATCATGTCATCTGCAAATAGTGAAAGTTTGACTTAGTCCTTTCCAATTTGTATCCCTTTGATCCCCTGTTCTTGTCTTATTACTCTAGCTAGAACTTCAAGTACAATATTGAAGAGGTATGGAGAGAGTGGACAGCCTTGTCTTGTTTCTGATTTTAGAGGAATCGCTTGGAGTTTCTCTCCTTTTAGTTTGATGTTGGCTGTTGGTTTGGTGTATATTGCATTTATCATGTTTAGATATGTTCCTGTTATTCCTGTTGTCTCCAAGATCTTTATCATGAAGGGATGTTAGATTTTGTCAAAGGCTTTTTCAGCATCTAATGAGATGATCATGTGGTTTTTCTTTTTCAGTTTGTTTATATGGTGGATTACATTGATTGTTTTTCATATGTTGAACCATCCTTGCATCCCTGGGATGAAGCCTACTTGATCATGGTGGATGATTTTTCTGATATGTTCTTGGATTCGATTAGCCAATATTTTATTGAGTATTTTAGCATCGATGTTCATGACGGATATGGGTCTGTATTTCTCTTTCTTCATCTTATCTTTGTGTGGCTTGGGTATCAAAGTGATTGTAGCCTCGTAGAAAGAGTTTGGCAATATCCCTTCTGCTTCTATTGTGCGGAAC